TACATGCTAAAACAGATCGGTGTACAATTAACCACTACTAAAATATATTATTATTTACAAACAAGCAGCTTGTATCCACCCAGCAGTAGGGAACTTGCGGTATGCAAGCCGCAGAGAAGTCTAAACCAAAAGAAGTGGGGTTGTAAGTTGGTAAAAGAGAGAGATAGTGGGGAGAAACCTACCCGGGGTGCTCTTCATGATCTAAAAGGAAACAAAAAGCGAAGATAGGATTTAAAGGACTCAATGTGCATTGAAGATCATGATAAGTAAGCATGCTCTCCACAAACTCACCCTCATCCTTGTCCTCAGGCGACTCCGAGGGATCTAGAGGCTCCTCCAAGGGCTCGTTATGTTCAGTAGTCGGGCTAGAAGAAGACTCCTCAGTCTGCTCTGGTGATGGGCTCGGCTCCGGAGCTGGGGGTGGTGTTTCAGTTTCAGTCTGCACTGGAGGTTCGCTCGGAGGTGGTGGTGGCGGCGGTGGATTGGCAAGTTTTTCACGTTCTAGGCGCTCCTCCTCTTCCTGCCGGAGACGTTCCGCCTCAGCATCGCGACGGGCCTGTTCTTCCAACTCAACTGTCTTCTGCATGGGCAATACGAAACAACACGGTCATAAGGGCGGACAAAGGGTGCGGTAAAATTAAGACCTTAACAACAGAAAAGGTGTCATTCACAAAGTGTCGGTACTGGTGGTAAAAAAGTGCGGACGACAGTGCACTTACGGGTACGGATTCCGTACATGTAACACCGCACATTACTATACGTATCTAACTACTTATTTCGTTTTAGTAAGCTTGTTTTTGTGTGCGTATTCAGCGCTTACTTACTCATTACACTGCCCACACGAAAATATTTAGCGTGCTGCGGTTACTTTTAGGCTCATTAATTTTCGTTTGGTTTGGTTTCAGAATATGAGCTCATATTCTGCTCTCCGACCAAGCCCCTTCCAATTCCTTATGCGAAGTATGCCTTACCTTTGCTCGCCGCCTCCAATTGCGTTTATGAATTCACATGCACCTGCGGACGCAAGTACATAGGGCGAACACAAAGGCAATTGGTAGCCAGAGTCAAGGAACACCTGCCTAGTTGGTTATTCAAACAGGATAACCGATCCCCTCGTTCCTCGATTACGGAAAACTTGCTGGACACGGGTCATTCTGTGGACCATATAACCTCATTCCGAGTTCTTGTTCGAGCACGAACATCTCGTATCTTGCGCTACCTGGAGGCTGCTTATATTAGACGCTCTAAACCGGACCTCTGCAAACAGTTAGAGCATGTGGTTAACGTAGCGTTGCCTTGGTAACAACAGGCTCCCAGATTTACATATTCCCCTGTCCCCTTTTTTTCCCGTAACTCATTTTCCTCTGTTTCTCCTTCCACACCTTGTTTTAACTTTCTTCCTTTACCAATTAGCCTTAATGACCTGTGGCCTTTCTGTACCAATTCAATTTCGTATTTTTCTCATTCGTTAATCTTCAACGCATTGGAGTGGCTGCAACTGATTAGCGCTCCCGAAATGTTATGGATCTAATAAATTTATTAGTTTACTTTAAGTTTAGCTTACTTTTATTAGCACCATGCGGTTACCTTTCGGCTTGCCGTACTACAATACCAGCCCAAAGGCATTAGAAGATGTTGATCGTATTAAAAAAAGACGTTCCGCCCCGACATCGCGGCGGGCTTATTCCTCCAACTCGACGAAACAGCATGGTCAAAAATGTCGCAGAAAAACAATTGTTTTATAAATGGTACCGATCTGGATCTGGGCATGTGGATAACCGCGAAGTTGATGCTATCAGAGCACTGTAAAGAGGCAGCCCAGAAGGCAACTAGTACGCTGCACGGCATCAGATGTGCATTTAGAATATTCAAATCTGGTCTCTTCGGAAGATTACTTGACGCCTTCGTGAGAACACGCCTAGACTACGGAATGCCAGTTTGGACTTCGTGGATGAAGAAAGATGTGGACCTTCTCGAACAAGTGCAACAGAGGGCGACGGAGATGGCCGGCCTGCTTATGGGCTTACCGTACCAGGAAAGCTTGATAAAGCTAGACTTATTTCCCTTGCCTTACAGACACTTACAGTGTAGCTTGCTCTGGATATTTAAGATAATCCGGGGTAATAGTTCTTCCCCGAGACCGGAGGATTTCTTCTAGTTTGCCATCACAACTCACCTGCGTGGTCATCCTTACAAGGTTACAGACGAACGCACTCGACTGGATCTCAGAAATATTTTCTTCAGCCAACGAGTGGAACGACCTTGGAACTCGCTATCAAGCGAGGCGGTTACCGCCAACACCACTGCCGATTTTAAAAGAAGAGTTGATGACATCATATTTGACAAAAGGCGACTTTCACAACATAACTTCTTAATGCCAGCCATGTAAAAAAATCCTATCTCTAGTTGGTTTTCATACTGTTTCGCAGTTTGCCGTGACAACTCACTCGAAAGTGTGTTATTCTAAGTGGCTACAACTTCATACTGACCATAAAAACGATAGTTACTTTACATGAATAGGGTCACAAAGGGCATTCCTTGCCCCTAACACTTCAAATATACATAAGAGCGGACAGGGATGCGGGAAAATGGAAAACTAAGACCCTTACAACAGAAAATGTGTTATTTACAAAGTACAGGCCCTGGTGATAGAAAAGTGCGGACGACAGTGAATGTTCGTTGTCTCCATGGAAGCCGCGTACCTACCAAAGTTCGGAGGGTGATTGTCAAGAAAATCTTATGTGAGTTGGTGGTTGCTTCCCAGTGTGAGATTGCCGGTAATAAGCATGCATTATATAGAACGCAGTCAAATTATAGCGTTTGGGATCCAAGTGCGATTAAATTCACGGCTGCGGTTGGGGCCTTGATAGCTCAGTTTGATGCACTCAAGCCTTTCCTCGCTGGCGGCGTAGGCTCGAATCCAACTGAGACCGCCGAATTTTTCCCAGTTGGGTCAACTGAATTACTTACATCTGCCAAACCTCTCCTGATAATTTACAAAAAACACAAAAAGTGACCGACCATTGTAAAACTTTGTAACGGACAGGGCATGTGCTCAAGTGAGAGCACTCGATATGGGAACGTCGCTTGAAATCGGCGAGGATCGGAGTGCTGCATAACATATGTTGTAAATGTGGCCAAAACTGCGATATCGCCGTCTACGTTACGCCTTGTGTGAGCCCCCAAGGAAGAACACAACAAGAAGTGTGCAGAAAGCAGAAGTGTTAGAGCAAACCTAGTACAGCATACTTAAGGCAAGCGGATGCGTGTACAGGCAACGCCCAATCGGACCAATTAGATTGTGGGCTTAAGTAAGGGAGCGACTTCATTGGCTTTGTGACTCATGCAGTTGGCGTGTTAGAGTCCTGAGCTGCGGCGCAGCTACGCGC